AGGAGGAAGATAAGCTAGGTGCGCTCGCACCATATCTGACGTCCTATCTCTCCCGCCAAAACCCCTTCCCATTGCGCTGATTTGCTCTCTACCGCGGACGCGTGTCATAGCCGACCTGAAACTCAAAACTAACTACATAGAGTGCTATGCACGATCGGAGCAATCGGAAAAGGTGGAGCTGCGTACTCAGGAAGAAGAGGAGGAGGTGGCGGGTGAGGAGGTGGATGAGCAGGAGGATAAGGAGGAGGATGAGGAAGGATGAGGACGAGGACGAACAGCAGCAGCAGGAACTGGCGTAGAAGGAGTGAGAGAAGCAGGAGGACCAGGGGAAGGTGGAGGAGGGATATTAAGGAGGGCGGCAACGATGAAAAATACTCGGGCTGGGGCGAGAGCGCCATTCTGAACGACGGCAGCACAGCGCCGATCCAAACATGAGGCCCACGCTGCAGCGGAAGCACCAGCTTGAAACATCAAAAGCCATCGGATTACACCACACCACAAGGAAAACACAACGTTAGAAGTCCTGTGTTCAAAAAAACGCGGAGAGGACCGAATATCTTCCGCACGGAGGCGGGGGAGAGAAAAGAGTAGCACGCATAATTTGTAATTGTAGAGGGGCGGGGGAGGAAGAGAAGGTGCGCAACCCACTGTGGGAGGGGGGTCAGAGAAAGACCGAGAAAGAGGATAGGAAAAATGAGGGTGGGGGCGTCCATCCGATGAGATGCCCTCGGAGGAACCTTTTTATTCCCGCGCCTGGGTTCAATCCCCAGGCGCGGGTCCACCGACAGGACGCCCCCCCCCCCTTCAAAAAAAAAGCTCGCCTCGGGGTGTCACAACGGCGCTAGGCAACAGGACGGATACCAGCATCATCAGCCTCGCGCCCACGAGTGCGACGAGCAGTGCAGATAGCAACACATCCTCGACAGGCACGTCCGAGATCAGTACCACGGCGAGGAGCAGCACGACGGAGTCTGGCACCACGACGTTCGTAGCACGATGGGTACCAGCAGCACCAGCCTCACGCCCACGGGTGCAACGAGCAGTGCAGCGAGCAGCACGTCTTCGATTCGCACGTTCGGGAGCAGTACGACCACGACGGGGAGCAGCACGACGGAGTCGGGCATGGCAGCGCTGGGCAGCATGCTGGATACCAGCAGCACCAGCCTCACGCCACGAGTGCGACAAGCGATGCAGCGTGCAGCACGTCGTTGGCAGCCACTTCTGGGACCAGGGCAACGACGAGAACCAGCCAGACGGAGTCGGGCACCACGCCGCTGGGCAGCCCGATGAATACCAGCAGCACCAGCCAAGCGTCCACGAGTACGACGAGCAGTGCAGCGTGCAGCACGTCTTCGATCAGCACGTCCATGACCAGTACCACGCCGAGGTGAAGCACGACGGAGTCGGGAACAGCGACGCTGGGCAGCACGACGGATACCAGCAGCACCAGCCAAGCGCCAACGAGTGCGACGAGCAGTGCAGCGATCAGCACGCCTTCGACAGCGCGTCCGCGACCAGTACCACGACGAGGAGCAGCTCGACGGACCCTAACACAACTGCGCTGGGCAGCACGACGGATACCAGCAACACCAGCCTCGCGCCCACGAGAGCGACGAGCGGTGCAGCGTGCAGCACGTCGTCGACCAGCACGTCCGGGACCAGTACCACGACGCGGTGCAGCACGACGGAGTCGGGCACAGCTGCGGTGGTCAGCACGACTGATACCCTCACTCCCACGAGTGCGACGAGCAGTGCAGCGGGCAGCACGTCTTCGACTTGCACGTCTGGGACCAGTACCACGACGGGAAGCAGCACGACGGAGTCAGGAGCAACGGCGCTGGGCAGCACGACGGACACTAGCAGCACCAGCCTCACGCCCACCAGTACGACGAGCGGTACAGCATGCAGCACTTCTTCGACTGGCACGTCCAGGAGCAGCGCCGCGACGAGGAGCAGCACGACGGAGTCGGGCACAACGAGGCTGGGCAGCACGACGGATACACGCATCACCAGCCTAACGCCCACGAGTGCGACAAGCAGTGCAACGAGCAGCACGCCTTCGTCCGGCACGTAGTCGGGCACGGCAGCGCTGAGCAACGCGGCGGGTAATTCCCAGCAGCACCAACTTCACGCCCACGGGAGCGACGAGCAGTGCGACGAGCATCATGTCTTCGACTGGCTCGGCCGGGACCAATACCACGACGAGGAGCAACTCGACGGAGTCGGTCACAACGGTGCTGGGCAGCAGGACGGATACCCGTCCGGAAAGGCGAGACGCCCAGCACGATGCCGAGAACTTCCGAGCCGCTCTCGCAGACAGGTTCCGGCTTCCCTTGTGCCCGCTGGGAGCCAAGTGCGAGCTCTGCACGCAGGGCGGAGTTGTATGCGGAGGGCAGCTCGACAGACGCGGGCGGCACGCCCTCAAATGCATTCAAATGCCCATGGGGGGGCCTACCGCATTATCAAGTACAACGGCCTCCGGGACTCTTCCGCTGGCTACCACCAGCGGACCACAGGGCACGTGGCGCAAGAGGAGCAAAGGGTTGCTGTTTGGGACAGGGTGAACCCGCAGACAGGACGCCTTGAGGAGGCGCAGCTGGATGTCGCCACCCGCGACGCGGTGACTGGACAGACGGCATTCTTGGACACGAGCGCAACTTGCGTGATTACACAGCGGCGCGACAGCCGGCACGCTCAAACAAGGACGGTATCGCCGCCACCAACGCGGAAGACAGCTGGGACTGCTACCCGCCAAAGGGAGGGCAGCTCATCCCAGTCGTCGAGACCAGGGGGGCGCCCTGGAGACGCCACCGTGGCGACCGTCCGCTCCTGGGGTCACGACATATGCCCCGGCGGAGCGGACCGAGGCCATCCGCCGCGGGTGGCTGCAGCGGAGCACGCGGCTGCACCTGGGCAACGTCGAGAGAAGAAAAAACGCCATAAACATAAGCTTTTGGAGCTCCGCGCGGATTTCTTGGATCCGCGCTGGAACCCCCTCCCTGGCGCGCGGAGCGCGCCAGGGGCGGCGCCGGAGGTGCCGCCGGGGGGCCCGGGCGCAAATCCACGAAATCCGCGCGGAGCGCCAGAAGATTATGTCAATGGAGTTTGTTCTTCTTCGAACCAAAGCAACGTCGAGACCATCTTGGCGGCCGTGGGGCGACATTTGCTCTACGAGGGCGCCTGCGCAGCACCGCCAGCGCCACGAGCCGCACCGCGGCGACCAACGTTCTTGGGAGATCGGCGGTGGCAGGCCGCGCAGCAGCAGCACGCCCCGCCCCGCACGGCGGGCAGCAGCGGCACCACCACCTCAGCCACGGCCACCGACGGCCCCTACAGTGGAGGCCTGACCACAAGAAAACTTCCACAAGAAACCCAACCCTGAGACCCCCAGGACGTTCCTTGGCTTTTGGCGTGGGACGTCACCCTTCCCACGGCAAAACCATCGAAACCCAAGAAACCCAGGGCACCCTGGAGGCAAGCAGGGTGTTCCTTGGCATGAGCCCCCACTGATCGGGCCTGCCGCCCTTGCCTTCCTCCTCCCTCCTCCTCCTCTCCTCCTCCTCTCTCCTCCTCCTCCTCCTCCTCCTCCTCCCTCCTCCTCCTCCCCCTCCCCTCCTCCTCTCCTCCTCCTCTCCTCTCCTCCTCCTCCTCCTCCTCCTCCTCCTCCTCCCCCCTCCCCTTCGGTTCCCCTTCTTTTCGGGCCGGCCGCCCTTGCCCGCTAGCTCCGCCTCGAGCTCCTTCTCTCCCCCCGCGCCCCAGCTGCTCCGGCGGGCCCCACAGTCGCCTCGGGCGTCCGCCTGGGCTGTCCCTCTTGATCTTGTTCCCAGATTGTGAAGACGGCTCTCGTTCTCGCTTGGACGCCTCCAGGGTTAAGATGCACATCGGGGGGTCTCCGCGTCGAGCAATTAGCCCTGGCATGGGCAGGTGCTATCGGCAGAGGCCCCCCCTGCGGCTTCGAACCTCGGCCCGCCGCGGGCTGTCCCTGCCCGGGCCCCGCTGGCCGTGAGTGCTTCTCGGACCACTCTTCCCGTCTTCCCCCCTTCCCCCCCGCGGCAGGGAGGGAGGGAGGAGGGAGGAGGAGGAGGAGGGAGGAGGGAGGAGGAGGAGGAGGAGGAGGAGGAGGAGGAGGAGGAGGAGGAGGAGGAGGAGGAGGGGGATGAGGAGGAGAGGAGGAGGAGGAGGAAAAGAGGGAGGGCCGGAGGGAGGCAGGAGAAGGAGGAGAAGCGCAGGAGGCAGGAAGCAGGAGGCGGGGAGGGAGGAAGGGAGGAGAGCTCCTCCAGGCGAGCACCGCCGACGGGGTCCCCCAGCATGACACGCCGCCGCCGCAAGCTCGCCAGGAACGCCTCTTGAGGTGGCACGGACCGAGGCACTAGAGGTCTCCTAGATGGGGTCGGAGTAGATGGGGTCGGGGAATTGCGCCGCATCGCCGATGTATCGGCGATGCATCGACCATGCGATGGCGACGTCGGCGATACATCCGCGACGGAGGCGGCGCGATCCTCCGAGCCCGTCGACTCGGACCCCATCTGGGAGGCCTAGAAGCACGAGGCTGGAAGGATCGAGGCTCGAAGCTGGAGGCTCGAGGCTCAAGGCGCGAGGTTTGAGGATCGAGCTTCGAGGAGGATCAAGGATCGAGGATTAAGGCACTTGAGGTGTCTCGGACCTTTTGAACGGGCCAGGGGCCCCCCCGGGGCGCCCTCCTGGCCACGGCTGGACGCAGCCCGAAGAACCAGGCTGGACCGCAAGCGACCGAGCGAGCGAGCCCGCGACCAATCAGCTGCACGCAAGAGTCACCCTGCGCAGGAGTGACCTTTGGTCTATGGTGCGCGGCCCAAGGGGACCACTGGAGGGGCCGAATCCAAGCAATCCAGGCGCGCCAGCCAGTGCTGGCGGGACACCCGTGCACCCGCACAGAAGGTCACTCGGTCCAGGGCTCACTCTTACGCGTAGCCGAACATAAGCGGAGCATCCTCTGGGCCTGCCTGAGGCTAGGCGGGCGG